TCCTTTTTCTCTCCTACTCGCAGTAAACTGCAGCACAAGTCGAACTAAAAAAGTGGCAAAACGGACTGGTGGGTGAGATCTGAAGGAACCGAACATGATAAACCATTGAAACTTGTCTTCAGGAATTTCAGCAAGCAAAAAACCAACGTTGTTGAAGGTCGCAAAACACATTTTATGTAAAATTTACGCAAAAATCAAAGATATGCGCTTACAGTTGGACTGCGGTCTGATGACACCTTTATGATGTGGATTGATAAATACTTTTGGCGCTCGTGTACTGGATGCTGTGGTACTGTCAGGTAGCTGTTGCATTTCCTTTGGTACTTTTGTTTCAGCTTTCGCTACTCGAGCCTTCAAAAACATGTGCATTACAGTTATTTTTAAAAAAAATCTGCTGAATACAACCATACGAGGGACTCAGATTGATTATGGATGACGAGAGACGAAGTGGGAATTCATTCATAACTAAGGAGAACACAGTTTTCCCAAACGTAATCGAACTTATCTCCACGTGAAGTTGCAATCAGATACATAAATAGCGGCCCGCATCAGGACAGCCGGTACGATTATGCGCAGTCCTGACCGGTAAACGTTTGCCTGCTAAGGATTTTCACTGTTTTACACTTTGGTCTGTGCGAAAATAACTGATATGCTTTTTGTTTTCTAAGATGCGAAATTTGCCATCGAAAATTCCACGTACCGATACGTGAAACGTAAGCGTACGTGGAAGCTAAATTTGTAACTATGGAATTTGAAACACTTCCAAAATTTCAACTAATTTTCTAGCTTCCGAGAGATTTTTGCGCCAAAACCTTCATGTGCTCATACATGAGTGACCTTGGCATACGTGGAAGCTGAATTCGAGTTCGTTAGGGGGCAACAATTTTTCCTGCCAAAAATTTCACACGGCCGTGAGACCCAGGCCTACGTGAAAGCTGAATTTGAAATTGCGGGGTCGCACTGAATTTGAATTAGCGAGGTCGCACTTGGGCAAGGAAAATTACTCTAACATTTAAGCGGTTCCTAAGATGATATATTTCCTCGCCAAAACTTTCACGGGGCTATACGTGGCAACCAGGCAAACAAGAAAGCTGGATTTAAATATGTAGTGTCGCACACGGGTTAGGAACACTCTACAAGAATTTCAGCTTCCCAGCTTCCGTGATTTTCGAGCAGAAAGTGCGGGACAAAAGGCACTTATACACACACACACACACACACACACACACAAACACACACACAAGCACACATACGCACACAAACACACACACACCTACATACAAACGCACATAAAGACAGAGGCATGACAATATGTGTTTTGTGCTGCTATCACACAACGAAATAAATAGCAATGCGCATCAGACTAGCCGATGCGATCATGCGTTTTGTGCAGTTCAGCCCATCGAACGGTTGCCTATTAATGATTTTCAATGCTTTGTACATTATGCAAAAGTAGTTGAAACATTGAAAAACAGTTAGAAATTTCACGCACCAGCGCATGAAAACTGAATTCCAAACCTTGAAAGGTGAATATCTTTCCGAGATTCCCGAGTTAATAGTTTACCCGCCAAAATTTTCACGAGACTGTAGGTGATAGACGAAAGCGCGGGAACGCTGAGTTTGAATAGTCAAGGTTGAGCGTGAACAGGGGGTCATTACCCTAAAGTTTCAGCTTCCTGGACACCGTGGTTCCCGAGATAACAATTTACTCATCAAAAATTTTCACTGGGCCGTACTTGTCACCCGCGGGCAAGGGAAAGCTGAATTTAAATTTTTTGGGTAGCACATGGGTGGGAGACATGCCCACAAAATTTCAGCCTTCTACCTTCTGTAGTTCCCGAGATTTTAATTTACCCGTAAAAAACTTTCACGGGGCCGCACGTGTTACCCGCGGGTACGGGAAAGCTGAATTTAAATCTGCCGTGTCATCCGCTGGCGGGGAACACCGTACTAAAATTTCAGCCGCCTAGCTTTTGTGGTTCCTGAGTTGAAATTGCGGGACAAAATGTGGGTGGGACACACACACACACACACACACACACACAAACAAACAAACAAACAAACACGCACACACACACACATACACACAGACAACCCCGCGAAAATATGCGTTTTGTACTGCTGTTACACAGCACAAAACACATAAAAAGCTTAAAAGAGCAGTCTACATTTGCACTGAAAAAAAGAATCAAACGAACAAATGTAAATTCATGTACAGAGTGTAACAGAAGATACTGGACAACAGGGAAGGACAGAAACAGCTCAATATCGAAATTTTACGAAACGTAGGATTCTTACTAAAATTTCTACTTCAGGAAAAACCGCAGAATATGCGAGTACAAAAAAAATTGCATTAGTGAGTCTAACAAATTTTATACAAATTTATTCTCAAAAACAAACCTGAGGTTTATTGGCTGGGACGACGCTGTTACTGCTACTGCTTGTAACCAGGTTCTGATTTCCCTCTTCTTTTCCTTTTGTGTCATTCTGTGATTGATGTCTCTGCAGTAATATCTCAATTACTTATACGGGTTTTAGTATTCTAACGTCTTCGAGACACAGACTACGACAGGGGCTGAAAATATGAGACTGAAATAATTGGCCTTTTTTGCTCAATTCCCCGTAGGTTTTTGTTGCTAACGACACTGGTTTTTCCGGCAAATGCTTCCAATTAAGCGAACTGAGACTGGCCGTCAGGACTGCCCAGGAACGCTCCCTTAAAATTTTAGCTTTCAGGCTTTCCTGGTCCCTGAGTTAGCAACTTATCCGCCAAGAATTTTCACTGACCCGTACTTGGGAACCACGCATGCCCGGAGGCTGAGTTTGAACTCATTAAGACCTACGTGGGCGGGGGACAACCCGTTAAAATTTCAGCCTTCTAGCCTTTCAGATTCCTGAGTTAGCGAATTACCCGCAAAAAATTTTAACCGGCCCGTACGGGGGAACCAATCGTGCACAGGAGCTGGATTTAAGCTCATTAAGACCCACAATGAAGGGGAACATCCCTCCAAAACTTCACTTTCTAGCTTTTCAGGTTCTCACATTAGCAACTTACCCGTAAAAATCTTTCACGGGTGAGTACGTAGGAACCAGGAATACTTGGAGGTTGACTCTGAAATCATCAAGCCCTACGTGGATGGAAGATATCTCTTTAAAATTTTAGCTTTCTTGCTTTTCTGGTCCCCGAGTTGGCAGCTTGCCCACCAAGGACTTTGGCAAGCCTATGCCTGGGTACCACGCGGGTAAGAGCGACCATTCTGAACATTAGGCCCGTATAAGCATGCAGATTAAGTTCCCAAAGATTCAGCCCTGTAGCTTTTATAGATCTCGAGATGAAAAATCGATGCAGACGAGCATACAGACACATACGCACAGACACATACACACGCATAAACATACACAGACAACCCCTCGACAATATGTGTTTTCGCACTGCACAGATGCAAAAAACGCATAATAAAATGCAAGCAAAACATACTCGTTCAGAAGCGAATTTTGACGGACGCGGTGCTTTTTCGGCTTCTAAATCTTCGTCATAATCGAGTTCCTCGGTTTCATCGTGATGTGCCACAACCTCATCTTTCACAACTTCCTCTTCCAAGATATCATCTTCACCCAAAATTGCGGACTCATCTAATTCGCTGAGATTACCGATATCCTACAAAAAAAAAAAAAAAAGAAAACATACGTAAGCAAGAAATACCAAATCCACACTATGAGTGTCATGATGGCATAAGATGTAATTGCAGTCTTCAAAGAAATTAATAACGATAACTCTTTTCGTATTTTGCTTTCTCCAACAAATCCCCAGCAAAAGGCCAAATATGGGACGGAGGAGGGCGCACGGGGAGGGGGTGGGGGCTCTGGGGAAGCACAAATTTCACTGCATCGTCAAATGACCTCAAAGTGTCGAACTGGAAGGACTGTGCTCACATTCTCGATATTACTACTCCGTGATAACAAAACGACACTTACGAATGCGAGACGTGATCAGTGGCTAGGCAAGCTGCGATGCACTGACGCAAAAACTATCAGAAGTGTCTCTTCACGATCAAACATACAATCAGACGTTCTGTCAAATAATGGACGGGCCGAGCGGTTGCATTGAGAAAAAGTGAAGTCAGATCGCCAGGCCATGCTGCTCATCTTAATGACCAGCGCTGGAGTGTCTCGTACCACTGGGCTGACTCGCTACAAAACAAACACACGAGGGGGAGGGCTTCGAGGAAACGGTTTATATGGTCATTAAATGAATTGTTGAGCTAAGACGTATATGACCTAATGGACCGAAACGTCTTATTAAAGGTTAAAAAGAGAATATCAGAAGAAGAAGGAAAAAATGAAAAAGAAGAAAAGGATATTAGGATAGGTAAGGGGTATATAAAAAAAAATATTTGTTATAGGTAAGAAATGTTTCGGTCCATTAAGTCGTATACATTTCTTATCGTTACCACAATTGGACCTTGTCAGTACGACGATTGTGGTAACACAATAATTTAGTGAGGTATATAAATTAATTAAGACAAAAACATCTAATTCATAAGGAATCAAGGTAATAGTAGAGGAAAAGAAAAATATATGTGGAAAAAAGGAAAGTATAAAAGTATGTAAGGAAAAGAAAAGTAAAAAGAAAAGGATAAAGAAGGGTTCGGAGGTAGGTGCAATGGCGGATGACGTGTATGAACAAATGCTGGTAAGTTGGATACAGGAAAATGTAGGGAAGTAGATAAAACAGAGCACAGTAGAAACACGGGATACTTTGTAACACACTACCACATACACTAACACA